TTCGGGGAAAGAAATAAGTTTTCTTTGAATCTATGGTTCACTCTCTTATTTACTTGTGAAACTGCTAAAAATAAATTTTCTTTGAATCTATGGTTCACTCTCTTATTAAGGATCATCATATATTATCAAAAGCATAAAAGTATGGGCTAATGTCATAAAAATCCTTAACTTTTCAGGGTTTTGTCGGTTTTGCCCAAAGTTGAATTTTATGTCCATTTTTACCCTAACATTTTCCAAAAAATGTTCGGTTTTACCCTTTTACCGGTGATAACAGGATACCATTATATTAACTTCGCAAAAAAACCCTTAAGATACAGTTTTTTTACGTTTTTACCCTTAAGTTTATAATTTTTTAACACTTTTACCCTATGTATTTTTTTTTTTCATATTATACGTATTCAAGCAGAAAAATCATATTTATAAACGAAAAAAATTTAATTAAATATTGTATTTACATTTTTTAATGTTAATTCTTTATATATATATATATATATATATATATATATATATATATATATATATATATATGTGTGTGTGTGTGTGTATGGATTTTTTTTCTTGGATAAACCATTTAAGATGTAAAACAAACAAATTAATATGTTTTTAGAACTACAAATACGTATTTTTATGTATTTAAAAATATACATATCAATAAAAAAAACTAATTCATTCATAAACATGTTTATATAAGTATATACATATATTTTTAGAAGTGTAAATATGTATTTTGATATATGTTTTTTTTAAAGTATAAATATATTTTTAGAAGTATAGATACATATTAATATAAAAATGTAAAAATATGTATTTATACTTCTAAAAACTATATCTATAAAACACATATTCATAATTCTAAAAATATTATTTATCTTTTTAAATGGTATAACCATGCAAAAACACAAACACACACAAACAAACAAATATATATATATATATATATATATATATATATATATATAACATTAAAAAAATAAATACAATATTTAATTAAATATTTTTTCGTATATAAATACGATTTTTCTGCATAAGTATGTATATTATGAAAAAAATATACTTAGGGTAAAAGTGTAAAAAAAATTATAAACTTAAGGGTAAAAACGCAAAAAAATGGTAAACTTAAGGGTTTTTTTGCAAATTTAATATAATGGTAACCTGGAAAACCTGTTATCACCGGTAAAATGGTAAAATCGAACATTTTTTCGAAAATGTTTGGGTAAAAACGGACATAAATTTCAACTTTGGGCAAAACCGACAAAACCCTGTAAACTTGAGGGTTTTTATGACATTAACCCTAAAAGTATAAACATAAGTGAGGAGATTTTATTCAAATTATAAAAAAAAAACCTTTAGGAAGTACCCTCGGCTGCCTACAACGGATAATTTTTTTTTCCTAAGAATTCATGTGAGAGGAACACAAATGTACGGGAACCATTCAAATATTATTTTTATGAGTTACATAATATTGGAAATTATATTATAAAAGACAAATGATAAAATGACTTGTTTAATCACTTTCGATCAAGTTTTCTTCGAATCTAAAAGGCATAAAGGGTGTGTTTCGCAACAAGATTATTAGAACTTTTAAACAAAACTTGAATTGAAAACAATATATATTTGGGAGTAGATCTTAAAACTCTTATTTTACAACTTAAAGCTCAATACAAAAAAAAACTACTTCAAGTAGAATTTAGCTTACAAAAAATTCAAAGATTGATATCACTTATGGATCATAAGGTGGGTTTATGTGAACCGTTCAGAAAATAGACTTTATCATTTTTAAAAACTTTTAGCTTTTAGTTTTATTTATGTAAATTTTTTAAAAGTTTATATCTATCTTTTACAAACACTTATGGTCAAATAATTACTATAAATTCCAATTTTTATGTAAACTTTTCAAAAGTTTATATATATATATATATTTTTCAAACACTTCTAGTCATAATAATTATTAATTCCAAACTTCTAGCTAACTTCTTTATTTCTGCCATTAATAATTATAATAAAACTTGATGGGTAAAAAATGTTGAGAAACAGTTTTGAAGGAGAAAAGTGAAAGAATTTTACACCTCCCTGTCCATCTGCCAAATGCGTGTAGGTGGACGCGTTGAGCTGTCCACATCATGGCAAACGAGTTAGAAACAAAAGGGTTATCAGAGGGTAATAAAGTGTCATTCATTGAAACGTAAGGGAAAGATATTATATTTTCAACGATTATATAAACATGTCCCCGCTTTCTATGTTTCGTATTACACATAACAGATCTCTCTCGTTGTTTCAAAGAAGCACACCCTGTGATCGCGGATCTACAAGGTAACATTTCCGATCCATGATTTTGTGTATTAACTTCATTTGGTATTGCGTTTACCTTGTAATTCTTAGTGTTATTAGCACCAATTGCTCTGTTTTTTACCTAAATGACCCGATCTATTTGTTTACTTGTTAGATCCATTTTTTATTTATATGATCAGATCCATTTACATTTGGTTCATTGAAGATATTTAAGTTGTTATATCTTAGTGAGCTGAAATTTAGGTTGTCGGTTATAAATCGAAAGTGTTCGCTTTAGATCTGTGCGGTTGGTATTGTTTAATTGATGTGATCAAGGATTTTTCATTGTAATTCAATCAAAATGCTTCAGCCGCTCAAGCTCAAACTAGAATGTTTTCGCGATTTGTTTAGTTGCTTATATCTGAAGCAGATCTAAACTTTTACCTAAAATCAAGCAAAGGTGTCCAGTTTTTATAAAACTATAGCAAGCTACTGGACTGTTATTCTGTTAAGTAATAAGTACTCCATTCTATTACATCTAACCTAAAATCTCAGCTTATAGATTTTCCATACGCATCTTTAATTTTATGTTAATTACGTCCATTAGAAGATTTCTTGTTTGATCAGCGTCTAAGATACTTCGTTATATAGAGTAGGGCATGAGAAGGGCAAAATCTCGAATGATTCTCATACATGCAAATCTGGATGGATCTTTTTGGCATTTTTTCGATCTCTTGTTTTGAAAAGAGTAGCAATGCTGTCTGTCTATTGGATTGTTACTTGTTTGAGCATCCATTGATAAGTTCCACAATATAATTTCTTCTGTAACAATGGATAATGTAATTTAACTGTTTAAGTAAAAAGTAACTTTTCATCAACTTTATATGTGACCTGATATATTCTTATTCGGAATCCTGATCTACATTCTACAGTAGTAACTCAAGAAGATGGTGAAGATCTGCTGCATTGGAGCTGGTTATGTTGGGGGTCCCACCATGGCTGTGATAGCACTCAAGTGCCCTGATATTGAAGTGGCAGTAGTTGATATCTCTGTACCTCGCATAACAGCCTGGAACAGTGACCAGCTCCCAATCTACGAGCCAGGTCTTGATGATGTGGTGAAGCAACGCAGAGGCAAGAACCTCTTCTTCAGCACTGATGTGGAAAAACACGTTTGTGAGGCCGACATTGTATTTGTCTCGGTCAACACCCCAACAAAGACCCGTGGTCTTGGTGCTGGTAAAGCTGCTGATCTCACATACTGGGAAAGTGCTGCCCGTATGATTGCTGATGTGTCAAAATCCGACAAAATCGTTGTTGAAAAATCAACTGTTCCAGTGAAAACCGCTGAAGCCATTGAAAAGATTCTGACACATAACAGCAAAGGGATCAACTTCCAGATCCTTTCAAACCCGGAGTTTCTCGCTGAGGGAACCGCAATTCAAGATCTTTTTAACCCCGACAGGGTTTTAATCGGAGGAAGGGAAACCCCAGGGGGAGAGAAAGCAATCAAAGCTTTGAAAGACGTGTACGCAAACTGGGTCCCGGAAGAAAACATCATCACAACAAACTTATGGTCCGCTGAGCTGTCGAAACTTGCTGCCAACGCCTTCCTGGCGCAACGTATCTCTTCCGTTAACGCCATGTCAGCGCTCTGCGAGGCTACCGGTGCGAATGTTAGCCAGGTGGCGTATGCAGTTGGGAAGGACACAAGAATCGGCCCAAAGTTTTTGAACGCGAGTGTTGGATTTGGTGGGTCTTGCTTCCAGAAGGATATTTTGAACTTGGTGTACATCTGTGAGTGTAATGGTCTCCCTGAAGTAGCGGAATACTGGAAACAAGTGATAAAGATTAATGACTACCAGAAGACCCGTTTTGTGAACCGGGTTGTGGCGTCTATGTTCAACACTGTTTCCAACAAGAAGATTGCGATACTTGGGTTCGCATTCAAAAAGGACACAGGTGACACCCGTGAAACACCAGCCATTGATGTTTGCAAGGGTTTGTTAGGTGATAAGGCGTTGTTGAGTATCTATGATCCACAAGTGACGGAGGATCAGATCCAGAGAGACCTTTCCATGAAGAAGTTTGACTGGGACCACCCTCTTCACCTTCAGCCAATGAGTCCCACTACTGTGAAACAAGTAGGTGTTGTTTGGGATGCTTATGAAGCCACCAAGGATGCTCATGGTGTTTGTATTTTGACTGAATGGGACGAGTTCAAAAACCTTGATTTCCAGAAGATATATGACAACATGCAGAAACCTGCTTTTGTGTTTGATGGGAGAAACGTTGTGGACAGTGAGAAACTGAGAGAAATCGGTTTCATTGTCTACTCGATAGGTAAGCCACTTGATGCTTGGCTCAAGGACATGCCTGCTTTGGTCTAAACAAAACAATTTGGAACTTGAGAGCGCTAGTCAGTTCAGTTCAGTTCACTATTTTTGGCTGGTCAGTTCTTTTATTCTTATATTTGCACCCTGTAGTGAAAAAAAAACTTCCATTTGGGTTGGTAATTGGTTGCCATATTATATATGTTTACTAAGCTTTTTTTATGTTCAGTTCCTTCCTTCTACATTGTATCTGATGGATTTTTTAATATGATGACCCTTTTTGTTGAAGTAGTATGTTATTAATTTTTCTTTAACATCGACAAACAAAACAAATAACTCTTTATCAACCAAAATCAATAGAAAATAACAAGCTTATTGAGTATTGACCTATAAAGAAAACTATGTACTTACGCTGAACAAATAGAGCTTAAGTACAATGGAAAGAGCCAGCTGCAACAGAAAAATCCCAGCAACAATCCAAAACCATTTTTCACCTGTGGACACTATGTGAGTTTTTAGATTTGATGCCACAAACATTGCTGACATGAATCCAGCAACACCCGTAACCACCCACCGGATTGCTTCCACCGGAATAATAGACAGAAACTGCAATTCATATTTAATGATTTTGAACTTTTGAAGTAGCAACAAACAAAACTGAAATCTGAAAACTTTGAAAAAATTTGCTTACGACTGCGGGGATGAAGATGAAGAGGGAGTAGCCATAGAGGCAGAGTAGTTGAGCAAGGCCCAAAGGTGCAGAGAAGTACTTGAGAATTATATACAAGGCGATGGGTACAACAACAGCATAGCCATACAAAACACTAGCTGACCATGTCAACAGATGAATATCATAGTCCCATTCCAAATGATGGAGCTTTCGAGCAAGATAAGTCACACATGTACCAATCGAAGCTGATGCAAAGATCAATGTTGTGCATATCCAAAAGGGTCCATACCTACAACAAAACCGGTGTTCATTTACACAACACATTATGAATAATATATTTTCAGAAATAACTTACAAGTCTGGGGTAGTAGCAGTTTTCTGACTGAAGGTTCCTTTGAAGGGAAAAAATGAATCTTTAATCCTCTCTAGAATATCAGACGTGTCAACATCAAAGTAGGGCTGGTAAGCAGCGACTGTGAATATCTTAAGCCAACCTGGGGGAGCGGCTGCTTCTTGTTGTTGTTTTTGTTGATCTGATGAACCAGAAATTGGCTTTGAGAAGGGAACTGCACATACAAATCAATTCTCACAAAATAAGTAATAACGTACGGCTAAACAAATCACATATCTTCAAGTGTCATTATTTTATAAAAGTATACAACAACATATGGAAAAGTTATATTTAAAAGAAGTAAATTACATTTAAAAACAACACTTATTGAGCTTCTGAAATCAAAAGCAGAGTATGCACTGTTTCAAACTTATCGTTTCATCTTCTGATTTGAAAGATTAATGGTGATTAGAGTATGATGCTGAAGTGTGTATGCTTAATTCCGGCATTAAAATAAATTATAAATCGATATCAATGTAGTGAGCCAGTTGGAAACGAGATAGATAGATAGATTGTTTGAGATTTGAATTTGGAACATAAAATACCATCAGAATCACGAGGTATGCCAGAACTAGAACGAGAACTGGCGGAGATCTTCCCTCCTTGTGGTGTAGAAGAAGGTGGAAACGTTTGGAGTGTCGACTCTGCAATGAAAAACTTAATGGGCTTAGCAACGAGTCTAAAAAGATTTACGAAATTCTGATTAGATAAGGGTTACCGTTGAATTTGATGGAGACTTGTCCCGGCGGATCTGGAACAGACTGAAATATAAATCTAAGTTAATGTTCTGATTACTAATTAGGTATTTATTAAACACGATTAAATGCAAATGAAGAAGAACAAGAAGAAGAGGAAGACACGTACCGGAACAGATCCGGAAGTATTCTGATTATCAATGCTTGTGTAATTTCCTGACATCATTTGTCTGATCTTCTTATTCAAATATACGCGCCAAAACGATTGCAATTTCAAGACAAATTCTCATGCAGAATTGCGATTTCAACATGAATTTCTCTCTTAATCTCTTGTTTTGTCTGGTGTTTAGCTCCCGTGACGGGGACACAGATCTCTTTGGTTGCTCCCCTTTCTATTTCACAGATACAATACTCCTACTTTCACAAACTTTTATTACTTTACATGGAGTAATATATTTACCATGCGGTATAAACCGGCCTAATTGACCGAATTGCCCTCTCATAATAAATATTAAATGTAACGATTTTTTACTTTTAACTATTTTAAAATAAGGCATACAATTTCTTTATATGTACTGTACCATTGCAATCCAAATTTTTGGTGTCTTTCCATTCGTTGTAAAATTCATTATGTTTTTAGGTTCAAAATAATGATATTTAAAGAAACAACCGAAACTCAATATAAAATTATATTTTAAAATAAATATTGCTCACCAAGTATTAATTCATTTTTTGGGGGGTTTTAAGTTCAATCTTAAAATTAGAAGTTGGATAAATGGAACTATACTGTGATAGTATAGGGACTACTTTTGTAACTTACTTGCTATCGTAACTATTACCAAATTTCTGAAAATTGTCATCGTCTTTGCCTTTCCGTTGACAGATCTCCTCTTCCTCCTGGGACACACCACAACGGCACAACCACCACCGCGATTGATCGGTGAGAAAAAAATGCAACCAGCAAACACCACCTTGTCTGATCTTTATACTCACCATCGCCATCACGATACCTCTCAGTACTACTCGTATTTCCCCTCTCAAAACCCTAACCCTTATCCCCTTCATCAGCAACGCCACTTGCAAATTGAATCGCAATATAGTAGTGCCGCTATAAATCCTGATCCTCCTGGTTCCGAATCCTATTTGCCGTCATATTCCATTAGCCACGCCGGTGCCGCCTACAATGCTCTCCACGCCAGTGCTCTGACCTACGCTCAGACAATTACTGCGGCGCCACCACCTACTTATGCATCCGACTTGTTGGTGCAAAATTGGGCGACAGAGGAGTCTGTTCAGCCATATGGAAGTGCTCTATATGCAACTGTAAGTTAAAGAGTCCATTTAGTTTTTCAAAGTTCAGTTTTTTTGTTAGACCCAAATTGACATGTGTTCTTGGGAATTGAAATGTGTCACTTTTCTAAATTTGAGAGGATTTTAGATTCTGATTTTGTGCCAATAATGGACAGTAAGTTAGAGCCCATTTCGTTTTTCAGAATTCAATCTTTTATGTTAGACCCAAATTGATAATTGTTAGTATTTGATAGTGGAATATGTCACTTTTCTAAATCTGATAGTATTCTAGATTCTGATTTGTGCCAAGAATCGACAGAGCAGCAACTATTTCAGATTGAAATATGTTGGTTATAAATTAGTAACAAATTTCATATCAACTTATTTTTCATAGCAAATTTTAAGCGTAGGCTGTAGCTCATATTTCTTGAACAGAGAACATATAGGAGATCTAACTCATGTGGTAAGAGTGTGGTTGTTATTTAATGGCGGTGTTTAATCATGGTCCAAGTTGCATCTGTCATAAATCTTTAGCATTTGAAGTTACGTGGGTTTGCTGGGATAACTAAACATACTCTCATTGTTGGATATAGTTCTTAGTGAATATGTCATCTTAAATGTATACATAATTACTGAAACCAAATTTCAGCTAATTTCTTAGTTAGTGTCTTAGTGATAAGGTCAACCTTAATATTCCGAAAGAGCGAATGAGTTTTTAACCAATGTATTTGTAATTGGTCACAACTTATCGTTGTACATGCTCAAATGTTAATAAATAAATAAAAAAATACAGTTATACCACAGTTTTCTGTTCTAATCATCCTAGATTTAGTTCCCTAGAAAAATAAGAATTGGAAATTGCCAAAAGTAACTCACTTGGACGTATTCAACAACAACAATCTCCAGGTCAATAGGGGTAAGGGAGAGTTTAGATGTAGACAGTCTTGTCTCCACCCAAGGAAATCTTACAGATTCAAAATTGCAAGGCCCAAATTTCATGGACTTAAACTCACAGCCCCAGTTGTTATAAAAAACAACTAATAGCGAAAAACTTTGGGATATATACACTAAAGTCCCAATATTTTCATCGATTTGACAAGAAAGTCCTAAACTTTATTTTTTTGACAGTAAAGTCCAAATTACCGGCAGTTTTTGACACTTTTACCCTTTTTTTCCGGCTAGCCGGTAATTAGGACTTTTTTGTCAAAAAATAAAGTTTAGGACTTTCTTGTCAAATTGTCAATTAGGACTTCACTGTCAAAATAATAAAGTTTAGGACATTCTTGTCAAATCGTTGAAAATATTGGGACTTTAGTGTATTTTCGTAACCCAAGAACTTTTAATTGTGACTTTTCTTGCAGCACCACTGTCTTTCTTACCATCATCATCTTTACACTGACACAATCACGATCAGGAGAAACATATGCAAAAGAGAGAGCGAGAAAGGGTGAAAAGACTTGTAAAACTTTCTTCTTACTTCGCCGTCAAATCTTGAACTAAAAAGTGGAGACAGATTAAACAAACACAAACAACACATGCCTAGTGAAAAATGTGTGAATGTGGAGAAGGGAAAGAATGGTGAAAAGACTTGTAAAACTCCATTTTTTTCAATGTCGGTTTGTTGAAATAAAAAAAATGATTTAACTAGAAGCAAACGTTAAAGATTTCAATAGGATCTAGCTGACTAGAGAAGGTTTCAATAACTCTTATGCTTAAAGAGTATCATACCATTAAATTTCTAACCAAAAAAAGGGATATATACACTAAAGTCCCAATGTTTTCAACAATTTGACAAGAAAGTCCTAAACTTTATTTTTTTTTATAGTAAAGTCCTAATTGACGATTTGACAAGAAAGTCCTAAACTTTATTTTTTTGACAAAAAAATCCTAATTACCGACTAACCGGAAAAAAGGGTAAAAGTGTCAAAAACTGTCGGTAATTAGGACTTTACTGTCAAAAAAATAAAGTTTAGGACTTTCTTGTCAAATCGATGAAAATATTGGGACTTTAGTGTATATATCCCAAAAACTTTTAGTAAATACAACAAATTTAGAAGAAATGGAAGTCGATAATCACAAATTGGGAGTGAACAAAACTTCTTGTAAACGAGTCTTTATGATTAAACAAGACGAAAAAGGAAGAACATCAGAAGAAAGATAAAAAAATTTGATCAAGATTGGTGTATGCGAAAAAGAGTCCAATAAGAAAACAAAGTTCATATACAAGGTACAAGTCTCGTAAGTCTAACACTCTTCCTACCGATCTTAGTTATACTAAAGACGATGAAGATGAAGAAAAGGATGTGTTTGATGATATTGCTTAAGGAATTTAGGAATTTACAGTCGAATGACTCGAGTCGACACACCACTAGGAATCAACGGTTGAATCTTCCAGAAAGTTATTGTTTGATTGGGATTTCATTGATGCTTGATTTAAAATTTAGTAAAGTGATACAATCGTCCCTATGACCATATAGAAGCAAGCGATGGTGGAGCGTCGTCCAAAAACTAGGTTCCAACAAAAGTCATCAGCTTTTTTCTTCTTAAAGGCTGCCTTCAAAATTCCATTAGATTTTTTTTTACATCTCCATTTTGAATTAAGAAATGATATGGGGCTCAGTTTTTAGATAAGGTTTAATCATATAGATTGTGCAATGTTTATGGGTATTTAATTTTACTTCTTTCCTCTCTTTATGTATGTCATTGTTATGTGGTGGGGTGGGGTTGGGTTTTCTAAGCAGTTTCATCTTTCAAATTTCATTAAAGATATGGATAGGACAGTAGGATGGTAGTTGCTTTATTTCATATCAATCTTTTTAAGCAAATGGGAAAGATTGCCTTTGTAACAGCTAAGAACTGCCAACTTCTTTTCATGTTTTTCGATTACTATTTTATAACATTCTAGCTTCCTTGTTGTTTTATGTTTGTAATTTATGAATGGTTTCTGTTTAAGAATAGGGCATATAACACGTATTTTTGTATCTAAAAACGTATTTGTCATGCAGGCTGGATTGATAGGTCAAGATAGTTCACAACAACTACTAACTTCAATCCCCACCGGTGCCAGTAGATGGACCAATCCAAGCGCCCAACAACCTCGTGGGCCATGGAAAAAAATCCCAAAGAAAACAAAAATCGCCCAGTCAGCGTGGTGTGAAATCTGTAAAATCGAGTGCAACACCAAGGACATTCTTTATAAACATAAGTTGGGTAAAAAACACATCAAAAACATAGAAAAATTAAACCCAGCTGCTTCTATAACTATTGGCACTACTTCCACAAGCAACCCCAATCCAATCATAGGACCCTTGGAAAACCCTAAAAATCCCAATCCCAATTTGGGCCCAAAAAAGAAGAAGGTGGAGACTCCACAAGAGCTAGAAATGAAGAGAAGGAAGGTAGTGGAAGGTGGTGCAGCTGTGAATGCTGTGAGGACTTGTACAATATGCAATGTCGTTTGCAATAGTGATACGGTTTTTAGATTCCATCTTGGGGGCCAAAAGCATATTTCCATGTTGAAAAAATCACACCAAGGTAGTGGTACAGTTTGAGAGTTTGAACATAATCATGACTCATGTGTTTGTTTATCATCTATGTTACTATGATTGATTATTGATATACTATTAGTAGTGATATAAGTAAACATGTTAGATGTTTTTCTTGTTAGGAAACATAACATAAGATATTCATGTAACAAAAATGATGATTTAACATTTTGTATCAGCATGCATAAATCATGATGATATTCAAGTATCAAGTGTTTAAAATTTAGAAATATAATATATAAATTTGGTCTCAAGTCTGAAGTCATTAAGTCGATGCAGACAAAAAAACCTGAAAAAAAAGAGAGCATAAAAGGTCGTAATCAAACTATTCAAACCATGTGCAAGTCAGTTGCTTTTTCAAGACGTGAGTTGCGTGTTCCCGAATAATAATCTTTGTCCCCCACATATTTCTCTTTCTCTTTCTCTAGATATATTTGTATAGTGATACATAAGTGTTATAAAATTATTGATTCAACCATATAATTTTTTTTTTAATTATTAATATTTTCCGGTTAGGTTTTGATAGAACCAATGTTTTAAAACCCGGATTGACCAGGTCGGTTGGGCTGTGTACCGGTGAAGACTGAAGAGACCAAGTTAACTAAGAGCCGGTTTTTGTCTGTTTATGAATCAGATTAAACTGACTTGTTTAAAATGGGTTGAACTGTTGACCCGACTTGTACAGAAATCCTGTTTAAACCTAATATAAAAAACAGTATCATGATGTTACATATATATATATATATATATATATATATATATATATATTTATCTTCTATTTTTTTAACAACAATGCACATATTTTAAAAAAGTATATCCTGAAACAAAATATCAAACAATTTCGAACTAATATTTTATTATTATTTTTTTTTATATTCGTTCACCATTTAATATGCCCACATTGAGCCCACTTTTCTTCTTTTTGAAACATTAATCTTTTTTCATGTTAAGTAAAAACTTTGTTAAATTTATATATTTTTATTTCATTAAACAGGATTTGATTGATTCAAAGTATTAGATACTTGGTTCAAAGCGTTAAGTGGACTGTCATATCTTGTAATCCTTCCTTTGTATATTTCGACTCTAAAGTATCTTTTACATTCAATAAAAAAAATTTACTCTTTGAATTGGAAATGATTCTTACATAATAATTTTTTTCTATACACAATAAATTATCCTTAATAAAGTTGTACAATACAATACTTTAATGCATAAATTGTTGTGTATGAAAAAAATTTATTATGTATAAATCAGCTCCCTTTTTAAATGAACACTTCATTTTTTTTGTTTGGTTGAAAAAGACATAATCACTTATGTTTGAAAGATTTTCAATAGTATATAAAAGTCCACTAAAAAATTCACCATTATGCATTGCATTTATAGAAGAATTACTCATATTTTGAAGATCGGATTGATCCAATAGTGGGGTTTTAAAACATTGGATAAAACACACTATTTTCATCGATTTATCATTCCAATTACTAAAGCATTTTTATCATGATTAAACTACTTTTGACAGTCGAAAAGTCAAATATCTTGTTATTGGGTGTTTCATGTTTAAATTTGTCCATTTCATTGAGAAAAAGTTTAAATCTAAAAACAAATCTATAGGTGAAGTCGGTGGAAGTGAACGATTGGAGGGATGTTGGACTATTTTCATACCAGGTCCCACCGTGGGACCCATTTTGCTTGCCTCAACCTATTAGTCTATTACAATTAAGAAACAGGTCTGCTTCAATGTTAATTAATATCGCCAAACATATCGTTGTAGCATTCTATTTTATTTTTGTTATTAACATGATTGCATTTCTTTGTTAAAAATAGTAATGTGTAACTATAAATTTATAAAATGCATTCAGTTACATATTACTATTTTCGGTAATAAATGTGTCGCTGTTATGTGCAAAAAGAAAATGTCAATACTTTGTTATTATTGATAAAAAAAATAAAAATAAAAATAAAAGTATAGTGCTATTATAAAAAAAAAATATTTTTTTTATAAGTTTCAAATTATATGTTACTATTACCGAAAGAAAATGTAATATTTTGTTATTATAGGTAGGGTCCTTATAGGTAAAAGTAAGCATTTTATTATTATGAGTAAAAAGATAAATAACTTATGTCGGTAAATCTTATCACATATAAAAATATGTTGTTATATTTCCTCAATTTGCAATAACCGATTAATTTTTTATATTTACAATTTAACATGTTTACTAGAAGTATTTACTTGATCATTTTATATTTAAGAGTATATGACAATAAAATCGATCAAACAAAACAATACAAATAATTTAATCTTATAATACAAATTCAACAACACCAACATATAATTTCGAATATTTCTTCTGCATTTTAATAAAACATGCTTAAGAAAAAAAATATAATTTATACAAAACAACATCATAGTTAAATTGTCTATTTTGATCATTTAAAATATATTTGGTGGTGTTATCTATAAATGACTTTGGCACTTGAACACAAGGTTGTAGTCGTTTTCTCTAATAAAAATAGAGTAAACAAATCATATGAATATAAAGTGTATTATTGATTTGATGAAAGAAACTTTACAAGTTCTACCAATAAACATATTTGGTTTCAAGATTAAGATACTAAGCATCTCGATTATGAGTTTTGATACGAAAGAAATACTTTACAGAGTTCGCTCAATAAACATATTTGGTTTCAAGATCGAGATACTAAGCATCTCTATTATGGGTTTTCATACATAAAATAGAGAGTTTTTCTTAAAAATGGCAACTTAATGATTAATAAAATAACTAGTTTATTTTAGACCATTTAAAAACAAAACCATCAAATATTATTTTACATAGGTTAGAATGATATTAAAACAACCATATGATGTTTTAGAGTGACAACATTTGGAGCTTTTGAATCCACTTGGAATTGAGGTGTTGATGTAGATAACAAGAATAAAGAGCTTGAACTTCTCTATAAATAATCCACCACCAAGAGTAAGACACAAAAAATGCTAGTTCCCTTTTTATATTAGTGATTTCTTATGTCTTTAAGTGCTTAGCTCAAATAAGCACTAAATGAGAAACACTTATTAACACCAAATGCATGCAACTAGCTTCAAAGAGCAAGAGAGGGAGATAAGATGATGCTCTCGACTTTAGTTATTTTCTAAGGGAAGAAGTGTGCAAAATGAAAACCTAACACATCTATTTATACTTACATGCAAGACTTAAAGTTCGTACCTTCATTTAATGCGAAGTCATGGTTGCTTACAGGTAAGATGGTGTAAGAGGGATGGTGGCAAGCAACCTCCCATCCCTTCTTAAAACCTACGAACATATGGACCTAAAGAGAGACCGAGATTAATTGGATACTATTTGATGATGTTAGCGCAGAGATTTTTCGGATCGGCAGACCGAGATTTTATCTGAGAGATTCAGCAGCTTGAGGTGAGTTTCCTCACTGTATTTAGCGGGTCGAAGGCACCAATACCAGCCCATGGTTTATTATGTTTAGGATGCTAGTTTTCTATGTGACTTTTGCATGTGTTATGTGTTATATGTATATCGGGCGGGGCCTGATGATTATATTGTATGTTATTTATATTTTTGTTTTTTGCATGTGTTTATATGTTTGTATGTATACCGGGCAGGGCCCGATGCCAGGCGAGGTCTGATGACTGACAAATCTGTTTCGAGCGGGGCTCGATGTCGGGCGGGGGCCATTATATGTTTGATATGTATGATATGTGATATTTTAGGGAACTCATTAAACTAAGGGGCTGTTTGGCAGGATCTGAATTTTTAAGATCTGAATTTTTAAGAAATCTGAATTTCTAAGAGGGTCTGAACTTTTATGATTTGAATTTTTAACATGCTGTTTGGTTGGAACCTCTTAATTGTTGTGTTGAATTATAAAAATGACAATTTTCCCTTCTGTATTACTTTTTGTTGAATTCAATATTTTTGTTTATAAAATAACGAACTAACTTCTTGAATAATTATAAAAAATATATACAAACACCATATAAAATGTAAATTAAACATAAATCAAAATTAGACACAAATTTATCCAATTATAGCAATCAAAATTGCTTGTTTTGGATAACATTGCTATAACAAAATAGAATCACATTACTATAAATCAATAAAAGTATATTACTATAAACACCCTCTTAAACAAGCTTACAAAAACAACCTGAACTATATGCTTATATGAATCACATTAGATGCATACAACCATGTTTTTGTGTGTTCCAAATCAGTGATATCCCCATAACCTTCAAATATACACCAGGGACAAAAATGTCAACGAAGATTCACAATAGGTTTGACTCTACATCAGTTTGATTTTTCTTCTTCAACTCCACCATTATCATTTGAAGTCATTGCAGTATAGTCCCGGTATCTTTTCAACTGTTGATTGCTCTTGGAAGTGGATTATCTTCCTTTAATAACAAGAGCAATGATGGTAACGATGAATAAGCATGGATAACTAGCTTCTAACTTCAAATATAAGAGAACTAATCAAGTTTACGAGGTAAAAAATTGATCAAACTGCAAACAAACACAAATCTACCTGTAATAAATAATAGAGCTGACTTCAAATCTTCCATACATCAAATGAAAAGCAAAAAGATCAATACCGAAAAGAGCATCATAATAAAAACCATAAAAGCCCAGCAACAAGAACACACCGAGAACCATTATTTGATGCACAAATAGGTTTCAGAAATAAACCCTAGAAATCGATTTTAAAAATTGGTTTCAGAAATTAACCCTATAATCGATTTTAGATACACAAATAGGTTTCAGAGAGCTATTACTTGATGTTGCTGTCGACGAGTTTGAGGGGGGTGGAAGGCGACGCATGCGACAACTCTGGTGGAGGTGGAGGCGGTGACCAAACGGTGGCTAAAGCAATAGCAGAGGGTAGCAGGTCGTCGAATATGGTTGGAAGGGAGAAAGAGGCCGTCTCGTGAAATAGAATAGGGAAGAGGGAATACGTTTTTGGGCAAAACCGGAAACACACGTGCTTTATTTTTTTTTTCAGATACAACTTCAAGTCTGAGAAATTAAGAGACTTTTTTTAATTTAAGAGGCAAAAAATAAGAGGCTACCAAACATATCATATCTGAATTTTTAAGAGATTGCCACTTAATTTTTCAATTAAGAGGTAACAAACAACCCCTAAGCTTTGTGCTTACGGTTTTCAGTTTATGTTTCAGGTACTTCTAGTTCGAAGGGAAGAGCCCGAGACGATTGCAGTACACACACACCACATTCTTCCGCTTTTTATATTACTCTGATGCACTGTGATGTTTATTGATACACTTTGATTCACTATGGTTTCTATGATGTTGTTTTGGATAATGATTTTATTAATTAAAAAATCGAAATTTTTAGTCTTAATTTTTGGGACGTTACACAACAAGAGGTCAAATGTGTTGAATACATAACAAAAAGTTATTTTAGGTTCATCATACAATTATATGACATGTGTAAAATTTATATTGCAATTTACATGCTCGTTTAATGTACATAGCTCACCATTTTCAAGATCTTTTCCACTTTGAGCATTGTACTTTGATTCTTTTGCTCCCAAACTTTATCAATACCTATATATGACTTAAACAAGTTATGACACCTTTTAATAACCTTTAATAAGTACTTAATCCATTCTTTACTTAATACGCGAAACTCATAATATCTTATGGATTCAAGGCTTCCATGAAGGCATCATTTATGTTCTCTATGTCATAACCAGTGAGTTGATTATCTAGGTACGGTGGAAGGCAACACATTTCATTTTACTTAAAGTTTCATCATGTTTCTTAAGGGAATAGTGTTTTGAGGTTTTGAGTTTTGACAAGATACGATGAGACTAGAGCCACTATGCAGTGATGCTCTAAGGGTTCAAAATTCAAATACTTTTTTTTTCTCCAACTCGTTTATTGTTTTCATGGTTTAGTGTTGGAAATAGTTTATTGACTCTTTTTTGAACCCTAGAAGGTGTAAACTTGTGAGGTTCAACATAAGTTCATTCAAATTCAATTTTAGAGTGTTTAAATTCAAATTGATCTCCACCATACCACATTGATGGTGGTTAACTTTTGGTTTTGGTTTTGGTTTTTTGAGTTTTAAGGTTGTTTTGGTCTTCTTATTTTGTAGACTTTTGTATTTGTGTAATAACTCTTTTTCTCTAAGTTCCTGCTGGAATTCTTAATTTATATTTTCTTCGTTTAAAAAAGAAATCATAATAATTTAAAATACATGTTTAAATTCCCGTCGAAAAGCAAATCGTTGTTACTTGTATAGTTGTATGGTGATATTTTTTTAGTTTTTTTTTATTAAAAACGCGCTTTTGACTAAAAAAGTATTATTGTGATTTGTGTCGTATTTTTATTTTATTTTCAGATGAGCCCAATATTGGATCGGAGGACTGTTTGACGAATTACTGAATCAGAACAATTTTCACGAACCAGGCTACGCAAAACAAGCGTAGTATAAATCTCCCTCCCTCTCTCTCCCTCTATCTCTCTCTCTATACATTCACTCTCTTTGATACAAGGGAGGAAAATCCAGTTAATCATCGAAAAGGATACTCTGATTCTGTCTGGATTACAGATTGTTGTAGATATTTCGCTGGTTTTTAGAACCCTAATTTTGCGCATTTGTTGGATGGGAATCAATTCAATACATTGGTGTTGAACAAAGTGATTGAATTATTCGCTGCAAGTATAATCTTGGTGGATCTGGTTATGATGAGAAAGTGGCTGGGGAGGTTTTTGTTTACATCAGAGAGAATTAATTTGAGGGGATTCATCGTCGGTGGTGCTAGGGTTCTCTTGTATGTTTGACAAGAAATTAGGGGATCATTATGCAGCTACACTTCTCACCTAGCATGAGAAGTGTAACGATATCGAGCAGCAATGGGTTTATTGACTTGATGAAGATCAAGGTCGCAGCTCGGCACATTTCTTATCGAACTCTTTTCCATACCTTCCTCATCCTAGCGTTCTTGCTACCTTTTGTTTTCATCCTCACCGCTCTTGTTACCCTAGAAGGTGTCAACAAGTGCTCCTCATTCGGTACGCCACTACTTTTTCTGTAATTAATCACTTCTTGATCTACTTTTCTCTCATCTAATTGTTATAATACACACACACATATATATATATATATATATATATATATATATGTGATTAATCAGAAATTAGGACTGCATTGTAGATCTTGATATCTTTTTATTGTTGTTATTATTGTTTCTTAATTCCATCAACCGGGATGTGAAAATTATGATTCAACCTCTCATCATCTTAGTGTTTCTAGATCTTGATTTGACTCTTTGGCTTTATCAAAATTTTGACAAGAAGAGTGATCTTAGGTAGAATTTTTGGATTCTTTTCAAGTTAAAAGTTGATAGGGAAAGGAGAGTATTTATTCTCAATATGGTTGCTTAGATGGGCAAGCAATCTGATATGCTTTCTAATCTTTTTAATTGAGTTCATCGAATCTTAAATCCTATATACTTAATCTATATTTCCATGATGCAGATTGTTTAGGCAGGCGTTTGGGTCCAAAGCTTCTTGGAAGGGGTGATGATTCAGGGGTAAAAATATTACTTTTATAGTTTCTTTATTTTTTTAGTTGTTAGATACATTTCAAACTCTACATGCATACACTGTATCTAGAAACTTATACCATTGTCCTTCTTGTGAAAAAAAAACAGAAACTTGTTAAAGACTTTTACAAGATCCTTAATCAAGTGAACCCCGAAGAAGTTTCACATGACCTACAAATCCCTGATAACTTTACACAGCTTGTCTCTGAAATGAAAAGCAACAAGTACAGTGCCAAAGATTTTGCTATCATCTTGAAAGGAATGGTATGAAATTGAAAGCCAAGAGACAACATTGACATCTTTTTGAATTGAAGAAGTTTCACCATTATTGTTTAACACCTTTTCTAAATGAATTTGACAGATGGAGAGATCCGAGAGGGAGATTAGAGAATCTAAACTCCAAGAACTAATGAACAAACCATTTTGCAGCAAGTTCAGTTCCAAAAGGCATCCATTGTCTCTCTTTGAGATTAACCGATGAATACTCATCTAACGCCCATGCACGCCGCCAGTTGCCCTCACCGGAATTTCTCCCTGTTCTTTCTGACAACTCATATTACCATTTTATCCTCTCAACTGACAACATCTTGGCAGCTGCTGTTGTGGTCACTTCTGCAGTCCAGTCCTCTCTAACACCTGAAAAGATTGTTTTCCATGTCATCACTGATAAGAAAACATATGCAGGCATGCACTCATGGTTTGCCTTAAACCCCATCTCCCCTGCCATTATTGAAGTCAAAGGTGTTCATCAGTTTGACTGGTTGACCCGAGACAATGTTCCTGTTCTTGAAGCCGTTGAAAATCATAATGGAATCCGTAATTACTATCATGGAAATCATATATCAGGCACTAATGTTGGTGATACTGTTACTCCAAGATCATTTGCCTCAAAATTACAAGCTAGAAGCCCTAAATACATATCCTTGCTCAATCATCTTCGCATATATCTCCCAGAGGTAACCAGTAATTTGATTTTCGCGTAAATTACAAAATGGTCCCTATGCTTTCTGATTTTTACCATGTTTTTGCAATTTTGGTCCTTAGCTCAAGTTTTCATATCGATTTTGGTCCTTGTTTCAAGGTTCTTAGTCTAGGAATCAAAATCAATATGAAACCTTGAAATAAGGACCAAAATTGAAAAAGTTGTCAAATTTAGGCTAAACACTGTAAAAATAGAAAGCACATGGACCCTTTTTGTAATTTACTTAAATTTTTTATATGCATCTGAAGTTTAGATTTGAAAAATGGTTATTATATGCAGCTATTCCCGAACCTTGAGAAGGTGGTTTTCTTGGATGATGATGTTGTAATTCAAAGGGATTTGTCTCCACTTTGGGAAGTTGACCTTGGTGGTAAAGTCAACGGGGCGGTTGAAACATGTAAAGGTGAAGATTCATGGGTAATGTCTAAAAGATTCAGAAACTACTTCAACTTTTCTCACCCACTGGTGGCAAAAAGTTTGGATCCAAATGAGTGTGCCTGGGCATATGGGATGAATGTGTTTGATCTGCGTGCATGGAGGTTGACCAACATAAGAGAAACATATCATTCATGGCTTAAAGAGGTATCTAATGTATCATCATAATTTCTTTCTTTCTTTCTTTCTTTCTTCTTGAGACATGTCACAAGCAAAGATATAATACTTTTTTTTTTCTATATTTGTTGCAGAATCTAAGGTCGAATTTGACATTATGGAAACTTGGGACTTTGCCACCAGCTTTGATTGCATTTAGGGGACATGTGCAAGGCATTGATCCTACGTGGCATATGTTGGGGTTGGGGTACCAGAAGAAGACAAACATTGAGAGTGTAAAGAAGGCGGCTGTGATACATTACAATGGGCAATCAAAACCATGGTTACAGATAGGCTATGAACATCTTCGACCTTTTTGGTCAAAATATGTGAATTACTCCAATGAATTTGTCAAGAATTGTCACATCTTGGAGTAGTGATTGCTTTGGGCATGAACAAAAGGATGTGTAAAAGAACATTCAGTCATATATTCATACATATATATATGGGAAGATCAAAGTATGTTGTCAATTATAGAAGAAGCAAGAAATCATAGCCACAAATAGAATGGCAAAAGTCAAAAGGACAAAGGTTGCCACCTGGAACAAAGATTAATGCATGCATGCATGAGTGAGAGTTGTGGCAGTGTAAGAAGATTGATTCTTTTTGCCTTTTTGGTATGGTATGTAACACAAGACTTTCTTTATTTTTGCCTATATTTTTTAGCCAATAGGAATTACGTTCAACTTTAGGCTAATTAGCTTAAGAAATTATGATGATTCTTTCTTAATTTTCTCTTGATTTTACATAATTGTGTCTTGAGTTTTTACTTTTTACTTTTTACTTTTTAGGCAGCAGTAGTAGTACAAGGTTGGAATTGCTTTGTTACAGGAACTTCACATATGCAAAGTATTTGTATTCATGAGAAACATTTATAATGAATGTGCAGTAAATTCTTTTTTGATCTTGATTTTACATAATTGTGTTACGTGTGATGCACTGATCGGAATTCATCAAGGAACTAGTTGTATGTTGTGCATGAACAATTGTAACATCATCTACATAAATCTATACAATGATAATTTCTCTTGAGAAACAATTGTAACATCAATCTTGTGCTTTCACTAATACAAATACATTAATGGGATGGGATGGGAGAGAGCTAGATCTTTGGTAAGAATTGAAGCATCATTGCTCGTGTCTTATGATCAGCCGAAAGCCCAAGTTCACGCATTTCCTGATACAACTTGGTGGCAGATTCCGTCTTTTCTCTCAAACAAAACCCCTGAACAGCAGCATTGTAAAGATGTGCATTTGGAGGAACAAGCTGCACATAGTATAAAAGTAAACCCATAATTGCAACTGATTTTTAACCAATTAAACAGAAAAGTTAAAACTCACTTTCAAGATTTCATGCACTTCATCATAGAGGGAACCCCATATGCAAGATCTAATCAGTGACAACAAAGTTAAAGTGTCAGGATTGTGTTTTTTATGAACCATATGTTGGTATACCTGCAATGCAACTTTTGGCTCATTTCCAACCTCACAAGCTCCAATCACACGGCAATATGATGTAACAGGAATCTCCAATCCCAAATCCTCCATCTCCCATAGTATCTGCAAACCTCTTCTCCAAGATCCAAGCTTGTTGCAGGCTGTTAATGCAGTATTGTATAAATGCAATCCCAACTCAGATGGGGATTCTTGCTGGATTTTCTCAAATAACCCAAGTGCCTCACTGTATTGATCCGCTCTACATAAAGCAATGAGAAGTGCATTCCAAGTGTATGATGTAGGAACATGCCCTAAACATCTCATGCAATCATACACTTTAAATGCAAGATTCACCTGACCATTGTTCCCAAGTGAATGAATCAATGCATTGAATACGATGATGTTTGGATTCTCTTTTCTTTTCATCATATCACGAAAAACACTTAACGCGAAATCCCATCTCCCATCTTTCACAAACGACATTACTGCAGCTTCCATGGTGCGAGTATCTGGTTCAACCTCGTTTTGAACCATTTCAAGATACGCTTCAACTGCTAATCCATACTGACAAAACCCTAGAAACATGGTGACTAACAACCGATATGTTACCAAGTTTCCTACACAATCATTCTCCTTCATCTTCCTCCAAATCCATTCGCTTTTAATCCAATCTTTTTCATCACGACATAATGTCAGCATCATGTTGAACAAAACTTGGTCGGCTTTTATTGTTTCTTCTTTATCGTCTATGAGCTCCTGAAACATTTGAAATGCGGCTTCAAAGCCTCTAGCTTTTGCAACTCCTTGTAAGATTAAGTTGTAGCTATGTCCACTTGTTCGACCACTTGATCTCATAGATTCAAAGACATGCAGAGCATCATCAAGCTCTTCCTTCCTCAACAAACATGAGAGAAGAGCATTGAAGGCATGTGATTCAGGTCTTAGACCCATGAAATCCATGGAGGCGTAAAGCTCCAGTGCGCTTCTAACCTTATCTGCTCTGCTCAGCTTCAAAAGGCGCCATGACAGATTCTTTTCATCCCTTTCTTCTAAAAACTGCAGTCTGTTCTCAGAAACAAGGGAAGAAGGCATACTAACATCGTCAACGTCTTCTTCTCCATCGTCCCACATGGGATGTTCATTAAGAACCGATCCGTATGCTATTGAAACCTTGGGTACATACCTGTCAAGTCTAGTACTTCTAGAATTACGGCAGGAAGACACTACTTTCCGTTTCGCACTCCAACTGTTCGATGTAATGTCTGAACTAGAAAATTCAGAAAATCTTGAAATATGTATGCGGGTATGATAGTATTCAGAGAGCCCAAGGGTCGGTACATGAAAAACAACCGAAGTCGTCAAAGATGCAGCCATAAATCACCCTAAGCAACCAAGCTTAGTAGCTTTCACTAATTCACTAAAAAAGGTCGAGAAGCGAACCAAGAAAATAAACTGAAAATAGGTCGAGATAGATAATCATATAATACAGACGCAAAAAATTTCGCGAATGTCTACGAAGGAAGCAGGGTTTTGTGTATTGCAACTGTGAGTAGAGCAGACTGCAGAGTTTCAAACCTGTTTGGACCAAAATGGAGAAGGCTCTGGTGACAAATGCGTGTTCCCATAAAATCTCTCTTTTCATATCTTAACAATGTACCATTTTTTATGCACAACGTACAAACCAAGAAACAGTCAATCTCGCCTTGACCTTTCCCTACATATAAAGTTCTGGGGCGCCCCCTTTCCCTAAAACCCTCCTTTTTCAATCCCAGGTTCCCCGCGCAACGATTTTATTAATGGAAGAAAAAAACGAGCTTGCAGAAATGGGTAAGTTAAATTACGAGTTTCAGAGCGTAAGTATTAATTCTTTTACTCTGGGTAATGCTCGATTAGGTCAAATTTGATACTAAAGAAAAAACCCTTGTATAATTTTACCTCCGTTTTGATGTAACATACAGAAAAAGTAGAAGATGGTGAAGAAGTAGCAGTAGAGGACGTGGAGGATGAACAGTCGAAAATGGAAGGAATGGCATCAATAGCGTTGTTACCAGATGGGTCAATCTCGGGTCATTTTGTTCATCTTCCCCATTCCGTTTGTTACGGCATTCATGGCGCTGGTATTTCCGAACTTCATCGATGCATTATTTATTGCATTACTTCTCTTTCCAAATACCATTGAAGCTGTTTTGTTTGTCTCCATCTCTAGAAGATGTTTTTTGGGCATTAACGACTTTAACAGATGCAATGTTTTTTGGTAATAAATGTGTTGCCATGAAAACAGAGATAGCATGTGAAAGGGAATGTAGCAGGGGTGAAGACTACCGTTTGGTCAAACTGACTATAATAGACTTCAATGTAAGTTTAATCTTTAGCTTGCTCAATGTTAAGCACTTATATAAGCTTTTGTAATCAGTTTTTACATGTTGTTACAGAGCAAGAAAGAAAGGGATGTAGTGGTTGAACGAAGAGGCCATGATGCTGCACGCTTATGTAACATTGATCATGCTCATGGGTGGGGTATTCATTATGTAAATTAAGAATCTTTTTAGACATTATTTACGTTGTAAATATTCAAATAAACTCATGAATTTTTCCATTTCTTGACAGATGGGAGAAGGATGTGGTTAGTTAGTTGCCAAGGAGCAAGAGAAGAGGAAGATTGCAATTTCTTTTGAGTGTGAAACGCTTAAAGCCGACGAAGCAGCAGAAGGGCATATTAGGCAGTTCATGCCCAAATTAACTGGATTGGATGCTGTTGGTAAGTATATCTAGTTCAAACTCACTGGGATTTGTGTTTTTGCAGTTGTTAATGGATACCTTAAAAATATGCAGTTAATATTGGGAAGATGAGTATCACAGGTTTGGACTTTAAAGCAGAAGTGGGACGTGTGGAGCCAAGTTCCTAAACTTATGATCCAAACAACATTTTTGATCCAAGTAGAAATCTACCCCTTTGTTAAAATTTGTTTATATAAAATCCATCACTGTTAGAATTAGTGAATCGTTTGATGATAAACATGGTTGATGAACCTAAATGCTTGAGAGCGATTATATTGAAAGAGATGAATAGTTTATTATAGACTTAAGATGAATCTAACTATGGCAACAATGGTCCCTAAACTATATGGAAGTACAAAATCAGATATAAGTATCCTAACCATCAAATGTTAGGCTTTATTGTAGGAAAAAGGCAATCACATATTACAAGATTTGTCATCACAAACATTAGTTACATTTCAAAGTTTGTAGTTAGAAAAAGTAATCGATTATTTAAAACGAGTAACTTTATTAAAGTTTCTAGTCCAACTTGAATTGAAATTCTACGTGTATTATAATATTATAGTATTCGTTATAAACATGTCAAATCAAATGGTCGGAATATAGATTCCAAGTGATCCATATGATAAAAGTCTAGTGTGTGTGATCTAACTCATCTAAGTGATAAGATTTTCGCCTTTTCAAAAGAAAAAAAAAATGATAGAAAGATACAAGGTAAAACTTATTGTGGCCTTAGTCTATGTTATTATTTTTTAGGAAAGGGAAATAAACATTTATAAAAGAGTAAGTAAATTACACAAATACTCCCATTGATATGTCTACTTTTTTTATTTTGTTTTTGTATTGGTTTGGTCCATATCCAACTAAAAAGACTATATATATATATATATATATATATATATATATATATATATATATATATATATATATATGTCACACCCCAAAACCAAGAACGACGGAAACGTTCAGGGGTGGAGGACGTCATTTAAGTATCATAACAGTGCAAAGTAGTAAACAAGCAACAACATCATCCATTGCATTAAAAATAAAGTTTTAATACATGAGTGTTCTTTCATAGTAATAAGACACCAAAATATGTAATCAAAATAAAAGACGAGTCTTGTCTGTGCTCCGTCTTCTCAAAACCTGGTCATCGTACCTGTCTACTGGTGACCTGAGAATACAAGTTATTTTGAAAGCGTAGATCAGCATAAAGCTAGTGAATTCATAAGTATTTTAGTGTCATTGATTTGTAAAGCTGTTATGAAAGACTTGCAAATGTTTAATGAAACATTTAGTATAAGTGTGAAAACCCTAGAAAATTCTATATTTCCTACTAGTATAAAAGGTAGTCTTCTACCAAGACCCGAATGCTTTGAAGGTTTGCATTTCTGTATCAATGAAGGTTTTTCCCATGTACAACTATTATTATAAAAACATAGTCTACCTCATCGTTTATGTGAATGTGTCACAAAATAAAAGTAATAGGGAAAATTATATAATCATTGAAATCGTATCCTTTTGCCTTAGGATAATCACGGCGTGGAAACTCGCCGAACAGTACAACCGAGAACATCCGTTGATGAACAGGTCCCGCTGTAGCTAGCAGCCAGGTGTAGGATGGTCAGTCTCGTATAGTATATATAGTATCTCTCTCTGTATATAGTATTTCTCTCTGTATAACAAG